AAGGAAAGATAAACACAGATAAGTTATTAGAATGCTAAATATATGTAATTATTCAAAGTAAGACAATAACCTTAAAGACTGGCCTGCTTTGCCATGGGCTGCCATGGGCTGTTGGTTCCTCACCACCTTCCTCAAGAGTACCTGTCTCCTGCTTCTTTGCCTCAGGGACATTTCCAGTGAGGGGGCACAATGTCTATGAAAGACTAATTTTAGCAGAATAAGAGAGCACTCCTTTTGGGTATGGAAACCATGTTGGAGCCAGAAGGGATTTTGGGGAACATGTAGGTGATCTCTCCCTGACTTACCCAAAGTCTCCAGCCAGAAAGAGGGGCCAAGGTGAGCCTGGACTTGCAGCCCCTTTGCTAGTGCTGCTGCAGGTCAGGGCACCCCATGGCCTGCACCCTGGCCAGCCTCTGGGGCTCAGCACAGCACATGTCTTTCTACAGCAGCTGACTGGGTTTCCTCTGTTTTGTGTCACCAGCTGTGGGATAGGCAGGGTGGGCTGATGGAGCTGGGCCCCTGAGACACCAGGAGCAATAGAATGGGGATGGAACAGGTGCACAGGTAGCAGGCAATGCCAGTCTCTATAACTGGTGTCACAGCTGACCTTGCAGGACTCCACACTCCTGCTACAAGGAAGGCAGGGTGGGTGGCCCTTAATCTGCCTAGCTTTCTGCTTCCCTGCTCGTTTAAATGCAGAACTGCTATTTTAATATCTCAGAATTACATGTGCCACCCAAGTTCTTTCACTTCAAGATCTACATGACTTTTTTTTTCATGAGCGATAGCTGCAGACTGGACAGCTCAGCTCAGCCTGGGCAGGGTTGACTCCTTCAGCTTGGGTGGCAGCACCTCAGGGTGAGTGATCAAGCTGCAGGCTCTGGGGGCCACACCCACCTGGGGCCTGGGCCAGTGCCACCACTTCCCACCGGTATGACCTGGGGTCTTAGTGGAACTCCCTAGAAACAGACATTCTGTGAAAGTGATGTCTTGAGAGTGGACTCAGGAGGAAGGGAAGCAGGGTACAAAAAAGGGAACTAGGCCAGAGGGTGTCTTGGCTGGCCCCACACAGGGCCTCTGGAGCACAGACTAACCCAGAGTTGATTTACCTTCCAGAGGGACCTGGAATTTTCTACTCAGATCACTGTGCATGTCCTTTGCTGCTATATGCTGGGAGCACAGGCTGGCCAGTGTGCTTAGCATGAGGACTGAGGAGAACTTGGGGGGTTCTCATTTCTATTGAGTTGCTTAGGATCCCCTATAAACTAGGGGTTATACATTAGTTCCTGGAATTGGGTTATTCTTAAGTGGGGTGTATGTGTGTGTGTTGGGTGTGTTTATGGTGGGGGGAGTGGTTCTGTGCCCTTTAAAGTCTTCAGAGACAAAAGGGCTGCAGACAGCAAATGAGAGGAGCCCAAGAAAGAGGAAAGAAAATCTCAAGGTGAAGGGAGAGAGTAAGGAGAGAGGGGGTTTAGTGGGTGTCCTGCCTCACAGGTCCTGTTTGTGCTGTGTGGAGTCAGCTCTGACAGAGCTCTCCTTCCTGCCTCTCCCCATGGCTGTGACCCTTGAGGATAGGAACCAAGCTCTGCACTATAGTCTACCACCTTAGATCTAGCCATTCATTGAAGAAGTCAGCTTCTATTCTTCTGCCTTCGGGGCATCTTGTGTCTGTCAGGGTGGCCCCTGTGAGCCAAGAGTCTTTGGAAGAGCATGGGGTAGGTGGGACCTTGCCCTGGCCCCATCTGTGTTCTTTGTGACATCAACTCTCTCTTCTGTCACTCTCATGCTGAGGGACATTTGTGGCTCTTCACACCTCCACCACCACCCCACAGGAGAGTATGCTCAGACCCCTGCCAGGGGGTGGGGCTGGGTCAGAAGCAGGTGCCACTGACAACACAAAATTTCTCTTCCAACTCTGTGGACATTCAGGGAAAATACAAATTATAGAAGATTGAAAATGGTGATTCTACAACTTTCGTGAGAGCATAGGTATGTTAAAAAAATACTCTTAAGTTTCCTCAAATGATAAACTTTCCCCCTGTCCTCAGCCAGCCCCAATCCTTCCAATAAACTGCGGCTCCAGAAAGAAATAGTTGAGTCTGTGCCTTCCATGACAACTCCTCATGCCTACAATTACATACACCCCATTGTGCGCACACATCCCATCCCCGTTTTGAGAAGGACTTCAAACTCCTTACACTGCTTTCAAAGCCCCCAGTAAGCAGCCCGGTCTAGTGGCATCCTCTCCTGTCCTCTGCCTTACCCTGGCATTCCGAGCTCCAGGGGCACTGGATGCTGGCTCATCTTCTCCCCGAACTTTGCAACATCTTGTCTCCTCTTATTCACATCTGAATCAGAGTGGTTGTGAATAGATCCCTGTATCAACAAGCTCTAGATAGTCTCTTTCTTCAGGACCTTCTGATGATGGAGTCACCAAGGTGAGAATGCAGGGTTTGGGGTGCTATGCAGTTTTGGGGAAAGAATTTTGCGTCTCTGGGAAGGGTTAATAAGATCAGTGATTCTTTAGTCTTAACAGTCTGAAAGCATAGAACCAAGTGGTCCATGCAACTTGGTTGTCATGGAAACAGATATTATATGGTCTGTGAGTGGCAGAGCTGGTTATTTGTCTGTCAGCAGGGGATCAGGCGGTCAGCCATAAAGATGTGGGTCCCTGGTCCATTCAAGAAATGGCCATGGCGAATCCAATCAGTGTGTCGACCCTAGGCTAGCAGAACATTAGTGCAGTGATAATAGTTGCAACCAGCTAGTGAATGACCAATTAGACCAGGCATTGTGCACGGTACTTCACACAGCATTATTCACTTAGCCATGCATCCAACACTTATTGATTGATATATATGTTGTGCCTTATGCTGGAAGCAGGGGATCTAGAGATCCATCAAGGTATGTTCAGTCTATTGGGTAAGAGAGTCAGTGGGTTGTGCCATGATCAATTGAAGCAAGGAAGACTCTTGGCCCAGAGGAGCAAATGTCCCCAAGCCAGATGGGTCAGAGATGGTTTCTCAGAGTAGAAGGTGTCTAAACAAATGCATGAAGAATGATTAATGGTTATGCAGGAAGTATGAATGGTTATGCAGGCATTCTGGATGGATGACCTTGCAAAAAGAAAGAGGATAAAGTGAGGAAGCAAAGAGAGAGAAGGAGGGAGGGCAGACTTGTTTTAGAGAGTTACAGGTAGTTTAATCTCACTGCCATAGAAAAATGAAAAGAAATGTGATTCAAGAAGCAAGTTAGAGCCAGTTAGACTGCTTTCAGTGTGAGCAGGAGTGCTCAAAAGGTAGTGGGAGCCTCATGGAGACCAATGGGTGGGTTTCATTATCATGAATCCTAAAACCTTCTAGAAAGTAAGATCATCTCTACCTCAGAGATGTGGAAATTGAGACTCCAAGACCTTAAGTCTCAGGGTTATGCAACTGGTCAGTGATGAGCTAAGATTTGAACTAACATCTCCCTGATTTCAAAATCCAGTAAGCTAAAAATCCAATAATCTATACCATATTCAGCAACACAGGACTTGGCACAAAGTTCATAAATGTCTGCTGATTGGCTGGCTGGCTAGATAGATAGAAATAGATGGAATCTGTTCACAGCAAGAAATGCTAAAAGATTTCAATAAACAAGCTGAAAGACCCTGGGACTATGTCTGGGAGCCTGTCCACAGAACGGAAGCAGCTTAGAACTTTTTATAGCATTGCAGACGTGGTGATGACAAAGGCTTGCCTTCCTTCAACAGCTCTGTTAACGATTTTTAAAAGTCCTTTCAGAGCATTTTTTTTTTCTTCTTTCCATTCTTGCTTGCAAACGAAGGATGATTTTAGAATCCAAGCCTTTTTATTTTGCTAAAGTACATGATGAGTAAAATGGCCTCTCAGTCAGCACTTTCCAATTTTGAAAGATGCTAAAAACTGATCTTTAAAGGCATGTTTCTCTTCTTTATGCATCAAAGGGCCCTGAGGCATGCTGGAGAGGATGCAGTGAAGGGCAGGAAGGTAACAACACCTGAAAGACTGAGCCTCAGAACAGAGGACAGGAAGTGACTGGATGGGGGACTGGGATAAGGTGCAGGCCAAGACCTGACTGGTCGCCTGGTAGCTTCAGACATATCCTCTTCCAACCTGTTCTCTATGTGGCAGGGCTCAATCTTGTCCCTCATCCCCTGGAAAGGGACCATAGAACCCTCAACTGACCCAAGAGGGAGCCTCAGCAGATATATGCTTGGTAAATGTTTTTGTAATAGCTAGAATTATTATAAAATACATATCTATTAACCATAAGTTAATACATGCAATCCAAAGTACTGAGCTTTGTAATATACATTGTCCTTTGAAATAAAGATGGGCTAGGAGAAGGTCATAAAATACAAACTGGTAAGTACTTTAGGAAGATTATCTCATTTAGACTCTCAGCAGCCCTAGAAAGTAGGTGTTGTCTTACTCCCATTTTGCAGATTAGGAAGTTGAGGCTGAGATGGGAACAGGAGCTTCCGGAAGCCCCTGAAGTTTATGGTGGAGTTGAGATTTGACTCCGAAACCTCTTACTTGGGCTCCATGAAGGTAGAATAGCCCAGAATACTGGGAATGGGGTTGCCTGGGGTCTTCTGCTGGCAGTTCTCCTGGAGACCTGGGAAGCTCCTTCCTCTTCGTCGCTGTGTGTAAAGGGAGGTATGTAAAGTGGGAAAGAGTAGATGCTGTCACAACACCTACAAGATTTGCCTGCTCTTGTGGGAGGAGAACAGGGCAGATGTTTTAGCCTCCAGCCTGTTCCGACTCAGACTAAGACTTTCAGGAGATCAAGGAGCCTCAGCAAGAGGTGGGGGCAAGCTGGTTAGAGAGGGTCAGAGAACCCTAGGTGTAGTGAGCTGCCTGCCCAGATTGCATCTGGGAAGTCCGAGTGTAGGAATGTTCTCTGCCTGTGACCTCAAATCATCTGAAGCTCCTGCTCTTCCACACACCTTCACATCTGTGTCCTTCTGTCCACAGGGCAATGACGTGCGCATCATCCTCGGCCAGTTTGACCAGCACATGGCAGCTAAAGTGTTCTGTTGTGTAAGTAACGACTTTGGTGGTGGTGTCTGTGTCAGGGAGACTCACAGAGCTTCTCCCAGGACTCATTGGCACAGCCTGGGCTGTGGGTGACATCAGAGGGCGGGAGTCTGGGTTGTTGAAGGCAGAAATGTCCTCACTGCTCTTTCCTCTGTTTAGGGAGGATAAACCCAGGGCTCACAGCCAGGCAGCAGCCTCAGTTTGCCACACCCACTGCCTGAGCCCCACTGGTAAACTCTAAGCTAACTTGGTTGCTTCTGAGGTGTGCACCGCATGAAGGGAGACACAGGTGCTTGCAGGGCAGAGGCTCATGCCCCTCTCTGCCCGGGGAGCAGGCTCAGCGCAGCTTGAGTGCAGACAGTCAGTCGCTCAGCATCCGTCCCTGAACACTAAGTTGTCTACTGAGCCGTGGGTGGCGAAGTGCATTTTTATACCTTATCTCATTTAATATTTCAGGGACCATGAAGAGCAACTATTTATCCCATTTTAGAGACGAGGAACAGAGGCCCAGAGAGGTAAAGGGGCTGGCCCGAGGACAGTTGACCACAAAGCCAAGGGCCCATCCCATTCACCCGCTTCCCAGGCTAATCCTCTTTTTTCCACTGATGTACTAACCCAAGTATATGAAAGAATTGCAACTCAGGACAAGTCTTTCCATTTTGATGCTCCTGGCTCCCTCTCCTTTACCCCAGGGTCCAGAGAAAAGGCCACAGAAAGAAAGCCCAATCCTGAGAGTGACTGTCTGCACTGTAAACTCCGCTCCTAGAGGAAAGTCCATCTAGGTGTGCTCCCCAGTGCTGGACCTGGGGCCTCTGTCCCCCTTGAGTTTTAATCAACAACATGATAATATCATAAAAGGCATGCTTGTAGGAATTCTACATCTCACGAAATACGTTGGGTGGCAGAGTGTTTGAATACTGCAAGTATTCAAAGATCCTGAACAGACAAGACCATTAGATTAAATCCAAAAAGATTAAATTGAGTGTTGCTAATATAAGATGATATTAGAACAAATGGAACTCCTCCCTTTTTCCAAAGTGGTAGAGGCAAAGCTGAGAAATTCTCTGTTTAGAAGAAGAGACATTGGTGCCTCAGTTGGCCTCAAGATTCCTGTGAGTCACCAGCATGAGCCCAGCTGCCAGAGCACTAGGGTCACCTCAGCCTGCACATCCTTATCCAGGGCAGGGGCCCCCCTCTGCTCTCCTGGACCCTATTTCAGGAGAGATGCAGGAATTGAAAAGAGACCAGGCAAGAGCAGTGACCTGCAGTCACAGTCACGTGGAGATACTAATCCTGAAGTCTCAGGACACAGTGACCACTGCCTGATCACCTCTGCAAAGACTGGAGAGGAGAAACTATGAAGCCACTCTGGAGAGCTCAGTGCAGTTTGAGTCAGTCTGTTTGTGTGTGAAGCCTGGTCTGCTGCATAGTAGCTGAATTTGGGCTTGTGGTTGGAACTTTCTGAGGCCCAGTTTTCTGTCCTCACTGGGGCAGCGGCCTCACCTTGGTCATAGGATGATTGTAAAGATAAAATGAGCAAACTGCTTTGCATGGAGCCTGCGTAGAGTGGGCCAGGAAATGGCCGTCTTCTTTGGTTTGAGTTGTCTGAGGATGAAACAATCTCCTGGGCCAGCAAGTTCACTAACTAGTAGAAATCTTAAGATTGCTTTTAGCAGTCTTTCTATCCGTTAAGGGTCCTATGGGATTGTTTCTATATGAAAATCTAAAAAGGAACCTGAGAAAAATTAAGAAATTAGAGCAAATTGATTTAATATATTTTCCTTCAAAACTGATGAAACCACGCATATTACCATTGAAGGTCCAGAAATAGCCCATTTTACAAAGGCAAATAATGCCTCACGTTGACAGGCATAATCTCTATTAGGGGAGAAACTGGATTTTGCACCCCCATTTTCTCCAGACCTTACACACAGCTGACATGTGATGGGTTATAACTCCAGGAAAAACGAAGTAACCAAAAGGTTCCTGAGGACACCACTCTGGGCATCGACCTTCTCCCACCTGCAAGAATTGTCAGTAGCCCTCGTGTGCCCGTTTGTGGCTGTGAGTCCTTTCTGTGCTGTGCCCTGGGGTTATTTCCCAAGTGGCACTTCCAACCAGGCTCTCTGCTTCAGAACAGACAGCAGGGAGTTCTTCCCCGCACCCTAAGCCCAGGCAGCCTGCCTTGGGCACATCAGGAGGACAGGCCCTCCTGGCCCATGTCCCCCTTCCTCTCATGAGTTGATATTCGGAGACAGGCTTCCTCTGAGCATCTTTGCACACTGCTCCGAAGGCGCTTGCAGTAGGTTTTGGTTGGGCATTCATTCTCTTGTCACGCCCTCTGGGACTTCCCATCTCACCTGCTCAGGAAGGAGTTAGTTCTGCAGGCAGGTGTGGGAGGCCCGAGGAGGGGCTGCTCAGTGTCTTCTTGCAGGAGTGAGACTCCGAGTGTGATGGAGGTAAGGGGCGCTCAGGGCAGACACCCACCCGGTGAGCCGCCCCCGTGTGTTGGGGTCAGAGCGCAGACCAGATGGGAGCAACCGTGTGTCTGCCTCCCAAATGCCGCAGTGCAAACTTTGCAGCATGTTCTGTGTTCTTGAGATGGGAACCGCCACCCAATGGGAGAGCAGCCTCTGGCAAATGAAGGACTATTTATAGCCCAGTGGCAAAATGTTCATTTTGGCTCCAGCACAGTACCAGCACAGCGCTTTGCTTTTGTTTTCCCCTCCCTCCTCGGCGGTCTATTCTAAACCAACCTGGGTTTTGGTTTTAGCTCCACCAGCTGTGTGACCTCAGGCATGTCACTTTACATCTCTGCTCCCTGGCGGCCTCACCTCTAAAATGGAAGCAAGATCCCTGCCTCATCTGCCTCATGGGCTTGTCAAGAGCCTGTAATAAAGCCACCAAGTGCAGACCATTGTGGCAGCTGTTTACTGCTCAACTGATAGGAGGGTTTATTGCTATGATTGTTGTGAACTGGAACTCAAAAAAGAAATGTCCTTGCAAGGGAAAGAGTGGAGGCAAAAGAAAACTTAACAAAAGGAAATTGGGATTATCTTTCCTTTAAAAAAAAGTTTCTTCAAACTAAACCTCATTCACTAAAAGGAAGCTCAGGACTCTGCCTGCTTTTGTTGAACTGTGATTTTTTTTTTAAATGTAGCTGACTATAAGAACTCTGTGTTTTCTACAATAGTTTGGGTTGGGACAATATTGTACAGTAGTCACTGGGAAAATGGCTGTGATCTGAGGTTGGATTACAAGTCATATAGTGTCTATGATGAGGGAGGGGAAAGTCATCTGTCATCAAAGGAGTCTAGAGAGGAGACTCAGGTGTCCTGAGATGCCTTAGTACTTTTTTATTAAACCATTTTCATTTAATCTCTAAAGGCCTCACCGAAGTACTGGACAAAGGCCAGTGAAATGAGATCTGAATTTAGACTAATTTGGGGAATATTCTGACTCGCAATAACCCTAGTTGAGAGTCTCCACAGTACAGACTGGGCTGTCTCAGCTGTTATAGGGAAGTTGCCTCCTCAGGTGTAGGAATGTGTGTAGCTCGCCTCTAACCCTTAGACTTGCCAGTAACTATTTCCTACTGTACAGAGACTATTAGGACTGAACCTGGCTTAGCATCCCAGACCCTGAGGGGAGAGCAGCCAGAACCTTCCCAGAGTCCAGAGTAGTCTCAGGCTCCTCGTGCTACATCCTCTGGTCTCTATGCTGTCTGTGCTCCAGGCCCAGGGACACAAAGAGGTGTGACATGACTTGTTTCTCACATGTCCTTCTAATAGAGGTTTCTCTTCAGAAATGAATTACAGAACTGTTTGAAGTCATGTTTTTGAATGTGCGCAATTCATCACAGGGCACAGAGAGCATTTGTCCCCGCTGATTCTCTCTAGTCATCTCTGAGTGTTCAATTACTTATGGGAGAACGATCTTTCCTTAGAAACTTCATTTTGAACCTAATTTTGATGGGGCATTACAAAGTGTAATTTTCTGGGTGCATCTAAACTATCAAAAGACATACTTCCTGATATAAAATAACCACAATAAAAATTTAAGCCAAACAGAGACCCACTTAGCACAGAAGGTGACTTTTTGTTAAACTAGAGGCAGGCAGTGTGACTTGTGGCTTCAAGTAGGCAGGCTTAGGTTCCGACCTCGCCTCTCTCCTTGCTGTGTGACATTGGAAAAGTGACTCTCTCTCTCTGATGTTTGGTTTCCTCATTCTGAAAATGAAGATAATAAAGCCTGCTCTGCCACTTCACAGGATGAATGTAAATAACAAGTAAATGAGTGTAAAGCATATGAATGTAAAGGAGTCTAGATTTATGCATCCCTTGCTTTCTTTGGGTGGAGACTCAGAGAGATTGCTCAGTTTGTCATGTTGGATTTTAGCTAAACTGCGTACTTAGATGGTCTCAGTCCCTTGCAAAATTGCTCCCATTGAGTTGTATTTTAAGGCCATGGCCTCAGCATTTAGCAAATATCATACAAGAGTTGAATAAAAGCCTATGCAAAAAAGTGAAAATGTGTTTGTTGTAGATATGCTATTGACATTATGCTGACTGATTTGGTAATATGCTCTACAATGTGACATATTTCTAAGGATTAAAACTGAGAATGCATTTGTTTTCCTAAAGAACTAGTGGACACTGATAATCAGAGTTATTTAAATAATCTTAATACACTTTTCTCTTGGGATCCCAGGAAGTTCTTGGGATACAGCTCATTATGTATAGTGTTGGAAACTTTGGTTGACTTGTTCCTTTTACCTCTAATAACTTATATTTCCCAGTACCCTATGTATTAATTTAAGCCAGCTTGTATTGTTGTTTTACCTGTTCCCCATAAACTATTTTGGATTTAAGGACAGGATTAAGTTAGAAAAAAAAAAAATTGCATCCTTTGGAAAGAGGAAGCCTGAGTTCCCTCGACTTCTCTCACAGGCAACAAAGCCTTGAACAAATTTTAACTCTTGATGCCTTCATGGTCATTCCATCTCTTGCAGGCATATGAGGAGAACATGTATGGCAGCAAATACCAATGGATCATCCCAGGCTGGTACGAGTCTTCCTGGTGGGAGCAGGTGCACACGGAAGCCAACTCATCCCGCTGTCTCCGGAAGCATCTACTTGCTGCCATGGAGGGCTACATCGGTGTGGATTTTGAACCCCTGAGCTCCAAGCAGATCAAGACCATCTCAGGAAAGGTCAGTCCCGAGGCCTGTCCTCCTCAGCCCCAGGCCTATCTCTGGTATTGTCTTGTCCAAAGTACCCAGATCTTATTCTGGCCTTTGCTGTGTAACTTTGAGCAAATCACTTGATCTCTTTGAACTTCACTTACCACTTCAGTGGACTTAGCAAGTCTTTCACTGTAGTGCCTCTGAAGTAATATGGGAATCAAGTGTGGTAAAGATACTTTGCAAGCACATATCACAGTGGACATGTGAGGTGTGGAGTGGTGACTTTTATGTCACCAACTACAGGTGTTGCCTTTCTGAGTAGAGTGTGGTTTCTCAGCCTTGGGGATGCTGTAGTCAAGCTGGAGGGAAGATAAGACCTCAAGTAGACTTTGGGAAACATGTGCTGTTGACAAGCCAGACTGATTCAAACCTGAGATTTTCTACTTACCAAATGTAAGTGACGTTGAACTTGAGTTCTCCAAGCTGCCACTTTTTTCATCTGTCTAGTGGTGGTAAAAATTCCTCTTCTGGGATTAAAAAGAGAACTGATGGCTGATTGTGTCATGTGGCTACCATGTGCCTGACCTCAGTGTTGTGTAACTGGGGTCAGGACTCTGGACAGAGCACTTAAGTCCTCAGGATGTTCATCCATTCCCAAGATATGTTCACTCACCCTGTCCTGCTGACCTCGGCTACTATTGAGAGAACTAGTGAATATAGCCGTTGTAAAAAGTGTTTCAAAAGCACACTGTTCTCCATCAGTATAAATATTACCAGGAACCAGGCAATTCAGATTCACAGTCCTGGTGACACGTTAAGATCTATCTCTCAATTCAAAACACCAGCCAACATTCAGTAGCACAGAACACATCCTTCTTTTCTGTCTCCTCTGAGCTCAGATTATTAAATTCTCCATCCAACACCACTTTCAGTTAAAGAATGTATTTCATGGTAATATAAAAAATATATATATATATAATTTTTATCCATTATTTAATCTCAATTGGAGCTAGCTCTACAAGAATGATTTATTGATTTGTCAAAAAAAAAAAAGTGGCAAACCATTAAGACACATTGTAAACAACTCTTTAGATCATGCTGGCACCTGGGAGATCCTGGAAAAACACTGGCTAGAAAATGTTGGGAGGAATATTTTCATACAAAAATCAATGAGCATAAAAAAAGGTTTTTGGAAATGTTGAATAATGAGTAGAAACAACTCACTTTATTTCAGTGGGTGTTATTTTTAAAGGTGTCAAAGTTGGCAGCTTATAGAAGATTCTTGAGCCCAGGGATACCCTGGATTTCAATCTAAAATTAGTAGAAAATTTTCAGAAAATACAAAAACTAAGAAAAAAATTCCATGTAAACAGACAGTATAATAATGAAGCTGAGAGACTTAAGGAAGACCAAAGGCTTAATAATCGCATGTATGAGATCTGTGAAACTAAGCAGGACTAAGAACAATGCAATGCCACCATAAGGGCATCGAGTGTTCTTCCAAGGAGCGTACACAGCTTTTACCCAGGGCATGGGCCATGCCCCATATGAGCAGCACAAAGGATGTGTTCATGGGAGGGTGTTATTTGCAGTGTTTTTCAGAGAGTCACAAACAATAGGACACTGACTAAGTTTGAAACTGGACCCCACCTCTTCCCAATGGGATGACTCTGGGAGAGAGCTAGTTGTTCATACCAACATTCATATCACCCATTCCTCCTCAGGAACCTAACTCCAGTTTTTAACTAAGTATGTTTCCACCCAGTTGAAAATCTACCTTTCCAAACCTCTCATAGAGCTAGACATGGCCAGGACTCCCAGTCTTCCCCAAATGAGATGTAAGTACAAGTATTAAATGGGAATTCTGAAAGACTTTGGAGGGAATATTTTGTCTTTCTTGTTCCTTCCCACTTGTATTTTCTGGTAACACTTATCTACCACCTTGAAAGAAAAAGAATATTACTAGCAATCCAGAAGTCAGCCTTATGACCAATCCCATTCAATACCACTGCCAAAAGTTATCATTCTTCTGACTTCTATCACCATGTGTTTGCCTGATTTTGAATTTTAAGTAATGGAAAGCATATAGTATATACTCTCAAAAAACATTGACGAGATTCATTTTTGTTGTTCCGTGTAGACATTTGTCCATTTTCATTGCTGAATAATATTCCCCTGGTGGCTATACTGTTTATTTAAGGGGACGTTTCAACTACTTATGAATAGGCTATTATGAATAGTGTGACTTTTAACATTATTGTCTCGCTCTTGGGGAATCCTTTAAAATTCCTTCCCTGTAGAAAGTATTTTGAATGGTTCAGTTACTTTTATATTTTATAGGATCTTCAGATTTAGTGTAGATTAGTCTTTCTATTACAAGTTACCTTTAAATAGCTTCCATATTCTGACTTTCTCCATTTCTTAATCTCCCTTTACTTGCCATAATCCTTTCACCAGAGAAAGAGTGGCACAAAAGCCTAAGTGATTATCATGCTAGAATTAATTTTTCTTCTTACAGTAATTTTGCATTTTGGTATTCTTTATCCTCAGTTATTGGTGACAGTATGATTTCATATAGAATGTCTATGAATAAAAAAATTGTGTGTAGTTTGTGGTTGTTATTACACTTCTTCTGCTGTCTTTAGATCTCAGAGGTCCTCGAAATGTTAGCTTTGAATAAACAGAAATTCTTAATTTTTATGAAATGTACCCCAAAGGCTTGAAGATATTTTGCTCTCATATTTTTCATATTTTTAGAAGTTTTTTTTACCTTTCACATTGAAATTGACAATCACCCTAGTTGATTTTGTGTGTGGTGTGAGGTAAGAATCAAGATTCCTTCTTTTCTATTTCATATTGATATTCAATTGAAGCAGCATTGAAAAGTCCATCTTTTCTTACACTATGCTGCCATTTCTCCTGTGTCATAGTCAAATGACTACACATATTTGTTTCTATCTCTAAGCCTTTTCTTGCATTAGTTGGTCTGTTTTTGTTTTGTTTTTTGTTTTTCCAGCAGAACACCTTTGTATTAATTACTACAGTTTTTAGTAATCCTTTACAACTCATAGTATGGTCCTTCCTCTTTTTTGTTAGTTGTCCACGAGATTGTTTTGGCTATTCTTGTTGCTTTGCATTTCTTTATACATTTTTAAATCTGGTTGTCAATTTATATACACATAAACATACAAAAACATGGAATTTTGCTGGATTTGTAATTTTCTTTAGGGAAAACAACATCTTAATAAAGATTCTTCCATTCCATTAATGTTTGTACAGTTAGTTAGGTCTTTCATTTCACTCAAAAAATGTTTTGTGATTTTTCTGTGTAGATTCTTGCACATATTTCATTTTGATTTATTTCTAGATATTTGATATATTTTGGTGAATATATGTGCAAATTACTAGGGGTACATACTTAGGAGTGTAATTTCTGAGTCATAAGGTATGCATATGTTCAACCTTAGTAGGTACTGCCAAACATATTTCTAAAGTGGTTGTACCAATTTACATACCCACCAGCAGTGATTGAGGCTTCCAGTTGGTTCACATGCTCACCAACATTTGGTATTGTCAGCTTTTAATTTTAGCCAATCTAGTGGGTGTTTAGTGATATCTCATTTTAGCTTTAATTTGCATTTTCCTGATGACTAATGAAGTTGGACATCTTTTCATACTTTTAATGACCATTTTGATGTCTTCTTTTGTAAATTCCTAGTCAAGTCTTTCACCTATTTTTTTCTGATTGGATTCTCTGCCTTTTATCAATTTATAGGCTTCCTTAAAATTTTCTAGATATGAATTTTTGGGTTGTTATATGTATTTTATTTTTTCCACTCTAACATATCTTTCACTCTTTTAATGGTGTGTTTTGATGAACAAAACCTCTGAATTTTAAAATATTCCAGATTATTCCTCTTATTTTAAGATTGGTATATTTGTGTACTGTTTGAGCACCTTTTGACCACTCAAGTACATGAAGGAACTTTCCACCCCTGTCTTTTAGAAATTTTGTTTGACCTTTCATATTTACATATAAAATTCACAAAATAATTTCAGAGGAAATTAATTTTATGTGTAGTCAAATGTGAGCTCAAGATTCATCTGTAGTGGATAACTACTGACTTAGAATAATTTATTGAAAATTTGATCATCTTCCCCCTCCTATTCCCATGTCCTAGTGTCATCTTTGTTACAAATTAAATTAATGTATATATGGTAGATCTGTTTGGTTCACATGCTCATCAACATTTGGTATTGTCAGCTTTTATTTTTAGCCAATCTAGTGGGTGTATAGTGATATCTAATTTTAGTTTTAATTTGCATTTTCCTGATGACTAATGAAGTTGGACATCTTCTATTCTGTTGATCTATTTTTCTGTCCTTTAACCAACACTACACATTCTTAATAATTGAAGCTTTATAATAAGACCTGCTACATGATAGTATAAGTCCATCGTCTTTCTTCTTCTTAAGATTTTTTTTTGGATATTCTTGGCCCTGATGTTATTTTTCATCTAAATTTTCTCACATATTTGCTTTCTGTTACTTTTCATTCCTCCTGCGTTTCTCTTTCTAATCGTTTCTCTCTGTACGAAGAATTCTTCTTAGTTTTTCTTTGATTGGGGGCCTGCTGGAAATAAATGCACTTTCTGGTTGTCTGAAATTTTACTTCTTCTGCCTTTCATTTGAGAAATATAGTGGCTGGGCGTGAATTTCTAAATGATCTATTAATTTCTTTCAGCACTTTAAGATGTCGTTTCATTATCTCCTGGCTTCATTGTTTCTGCTATATCAGTTGCATTCATACTGTTGCTTTCTTGAAGATAATGCATCTTTTTCTCTCTCCCTCTCACTGTTTTTAAGATTTTTGTTTTTGCTTTATTTAGTCTTCAGCAGTTTTACTATGTGCTGCTAAGATTTTTTTAGTTTATCTCACTTGGAGTTCATAGAGTTCATAGAACCTTGTGAATTTGTAGATTGAGGTGTGTTTAGGGAAATTCTAGCATAATATTCCTTGAAATGTT